ACTGAAATGGCGATACCGTGGGGGGGGGGGGGTAAAGTTTGAAAATTGCAGAACCCATTTAGTCCAGGATGGTGTCCATCCAATCCTACCGTCGACTACGCTGCTACCACCGTCCCAGCCAGAGTCACAACTAAGGTCAACCAAGCCATAGTCACGTTCTATTAAAGTGGCAAAAAGAATTATATTTTAATATAGCAAAACTAATTCTATCAACTATTATTAAAGGCTAAACAACTATTAATACAAAATAGTAGAAAAATTAATATTGATTAATTATAAAAAATTATCTACTGTTGTCTAACAGAAGCATACTACAACATGTTAAAATCTACAGAAAGAACTAACTAAAAATAATTGAAAACAATATTTAAAGGACTAAAACAACTATATAAACAAAAGAGTATTGTTTTAATTAAAATCCTAACTTAAACTATTCTAAAAATAACCAAATAAATCTTACTGTGACAACAATCTAACATGTGACTAGGAGCAAAAAAAATTAAATTAAAAACCATTTTTAAACTCAAATTAGTCACAATCTAGGGTTTGAAGACTAATGACACAAACATAAACTAGACAAAATTTTGAATCTAATGCAAAAAGAATCACTCAAAAATATCAAATATCCTAAAAGATATAAGCAATTTAAAACAGAAACTAAGATAAAAAAACAAATGGAAAAACAGATAAAAAAACTTTCAGAACCCCTTTAGTCCCGGTTGGTGCTCCAAACCTTTAGTCCCAGTTGGAGACACCAACCGGGACTAAAGCCAGGTCTAATCTTTAGTCCCGGCTGGAGACACCAACCAGGACTAAAGGGCATCGCACCCATTAGTCCCGGTTGGTGTCTCCAACCGGGACTAAAGGTCCCATTTGAACTGGGACTGATGCCTGCCCGGCGCCCTAACTGCTCGAACCTGGACTAATGCTCACATTAGTCCTGGTTTATAATGCAACCGGGACTAATGTGTAGATCGAGCTTGGACCAAAGCCATGTTTTCTACTAGTGTGTTTTAGCTACAATTTATTTAAGGATATGTAATATAAATTTGAAATGCTAAGAAATTATCACATAATAGTTTGAAACCTAAAATATATAATTCATCTTCAAAAGTGTTCAAATATGAAGACCAAAATAACTCATATTTGTACATTATATTTACTGATTAACTTGTGTTTGACCTTAGGACTGTATCTAAACATAAATAGTTGTTTTATATTATCTATAAAGCAACATCTCCATCACTTGCCTCGTTGCTGCCAGACTCAGTCAACAAAGACTACATACTCTGTTTTTCACCCCAAGATGCTAGCAACAATGCCTTCACCAGCAATGCCTTCATGAAAGTAACACCGCGCAAATTATTTGGTGCAAGTCACAACTCGTACATTTTATCTATTTTGTCAAAGTTTATAGTGACTACTACATATTGTCTTACGAGAATTAATTAATGATCATATGTCGTGCCATCGGCTTTTACAATAGGCTTCAAGAGAAGAGTGCATTTACTTTCTGTGAATCAATAGGGGGATTGATGCACCAGAGCTGGATATGGAATATGGTATGGAATCAAAGGATGAATTGGTGAGGCTTATTGGGGGGAAGCGTGTTTCGATCCTTGTCTATGGGCTAGACAAATATGGACGGTCTCTTGGTGACATCTACTGTGACGGCGTCTTTATCCAAGTGAGAAAGAAGATCTGATCTTTTGTAAAAAAAAATATGATCTAGCTTGTATATCTTTTTGTTCTGCAGTTCTGTGATGTTTGTGTGTGAATTCTTCAGGAACAAATGCTGAAAGGGGGCTTTGCCTGGCACTACAAAATGTGCGACAAACGTCCTGAATTTGCAAAAGTAAGAT